CTCTCTCTCTCTCTCTCTTTGTTTACAGATTACCACCACTAGATAGTTTAATCACTCAACAAAAGAATGAAGACACAACGCAATGGATAATATTCATGTCAAAAAGTTTCAATAAATGTTCTTCAGGCAGATAAAAATGAGTGTCTCTGATGTCACTGTTTGAATTATCTTACCCATGAACTCCTAGTTATCGTTTTCACAAAGATAACTTTAAGATGTGACTGAAATCGGTAAATTTTTAGCGATATTTCCTCAAAGAATGCCACTATCTTACTGTTTCTATCTGTGAAGTTTATTCAATTTTCCCAAATTTGGATCGTTCAGTGGATCATTTAGCCGTGTTATCAATGTTAGGAAATGCAGTTGAGATATATGTTGTTCCAGAGTCTGGTTGAGACTCTCTCAGCCACTGAAATAACACAGAATTTTTACAGAATAAACAAATGTCGGTTTAGAGATCGTCTTTCATTGCGAGGTTCAGTAAATAAATACATATCCCATGCTACGCGAGATTTTCTCCAGTAATTGGCATGGTATTGACAAATAGTGGCACTACAATCGGGTTTTTTTTCCCTTTGCATCAAGAATTTCCTAGAGATTGCGGACGTACATTTGGACATCTTTGTTCTCCAGAGAAATTAAAGCGTCAATGGTAGTTAATATTCCTTGTATCTCTGTTGTATTTTCATCTCCTATTGATTATATTTCACGCAAGAAAAAGCTAGAAAATCATTCTTGTCGAAAACGTTGCCAATTGATTGCAATTAACATCTCAGCAGAACAATCAGATTGAATAGAAGTCAATGAATGTTAGGTGCACCTGAGCATACTTGCGGATATTAGTTCCAGGATATTGTTACGGAGATGTGCAAATATTAATAACAAAGCTGCAGTGGCGGTTTAAACGAAGTATGAGATATTTCGAAACAGGAAAACTTTGATCTGACAAGTGATTCCTAGAGTTTAAGGAAGATTTAACAATAATCCAAACACTAACCTCAAGACCTTTTTGTAGCAAGGGAGTTTTGCAAAGATTATCTTGTAGTCTAAGTAATACATAAAATAAAGCCGAAAAGGCACCATAATTTAGGTCTACAATGCAAACAATTGTGATGAACAATCAGAAAACCGAGAAATTAGGCTATTTTTTTACTCCGTTTTAGAACAATTAAAAACTCTATGGGAAAATTTTTTCTAGATCTCTTAGAGTCAGTATCAGCTAGCACAGTCTGAGGTTTGGTTCGAGAATCCGTCGCTGACCAATCCATCTACCTTGCAGCAATATTATTATGTACATTGCTTCAGTATGCTTTATAAGATTGCTATGGAGAGTGACTAAGAAGGAAACATCGGAAAATTAATATCTACCATGGAAGCAAGGAATGGTACGTGTCCTTCCTATTGATGTAGTATTAAACAATAAAAAAAATTAGTTGTATTGTAGGTAGTATCTATACTGGAATCTTTTTTCGTTTTAACTCATCATATCCTATTCCCGGGCGTGCTGTTTTCTTTCATCAATTTATTTTAATGACACATTTATAAGCCATAGAACAGATATTTTTTATAGTTTCATTCTTAATTCTCTTTCATCTTTGCTGATTGCCGGAATACTTTGCAATTTTCTTCTTGCTGAAAGAAAACTTGTTTCAGAAAGTTAAACACTTGACCCAGTTAAACGAATTCTTCAACTCCTCATCATAACTTGTAAGTTAAGAAACATCTCTTTTTGATTCCGGTAATTCAACACTGAACTGGCATAATTTTGAATATCTAGATCTCTCAGCAAAGTGTTTGTTGGGTTTATGTTCCGACTCGTTTTGGGCTGAATTGTAGGATTATATTTCTTGAGTAATTCCCCTTTTCTCGACACAACCATAGATTTAGTGACAAAACATTTTAAATTAAAGTTTTTCTAAGCTCTTGACGTACGATCAAGAAAATGAACCCATTGTCCTCAAATGCAAAACGATATTAAGTAAGTCGCAAAAATGGCATTCATCCAGGAACGTGAAATCATCACATAAAGGAGGCGTAAAGTAGTATGAATAATTAAACAAGAAAAAGCAGGTCTTAATTTCTTGAGAAAAAGTGTCCGGGTCACACACTGCTTAAATTTTGAAAAATATTCGAATGGCAACCCATAAAACGTGTGTCACATTGGTTTATTTTGATACCGAGTCATCTGATTCCGAGCAACTCATTCTATGTCTGGAACAGTCCCTAGTAACTCTTTTCCAATTAACAATTTTAGCAGCGGGCAAATAACTTTCGCAAAGTGACAAAGACAACAAAGAAAATTTAAATCCGACCCACTAATTTGAAAACGTTCACTACTCTGTTCTTTACGACCTACGTAATGTCAAATCACTTCAGAAATACTTGCAATCTTTAGAAAGGCTAGAAAATTCATTGGAAGATTCTGTGAAAGCGCCACCTGTACAATACTTTATTTGCAGAGTGCAGAGCGAATGTGATAATTTAACCCAGCAACGAAGCCTACTAGCATGGAATTTGACAGACAATACGTCCGAAAATGCCAAAGCGGTGTGTTGTAACCAATGGCTCTTTAGGCCTTGAGTAATTAATATTCAGCCTTCTTCGACATGTCAACCAAACAACGTTCTTAATTTCGCCCATAAATTGATTTTAAATGCACTGAAATTCCTAGCTGACATAGAAGACATTTATGTTCTTTCGTTGAACCTCACCGTGTCATAGTCAAGATCTATTTTGGGACAAAATAATTTCAACAGGTAAGGAAAGGATCGTAAAGAAGAGAGTACACCTCTTCGATTGAAGACTGGCCTCTTCCTTAGGTTAAGTTATCGAAAGTTTTCAATGAAGACATTTGATATTAAACCTTAAACTCCGTTGAAATTACCTTTTTGTTACACACAGCAGTTTCTCCTGATATGACTCACGAAATCATTTATTTTATTCATTATTTCCTTTTCGCTTGAATTTCACATCAACATCTTGGAGGCAACAGGTTAAGATTACTGAATTTTTGTTTCATCTGAAATTATGATATGGCCTTGTTTACCATCTCTTGTATTGCAAAAAGTGTGATTACGCCTGATTCTTTCCTTTACGTTCTGGCTAGAGGCCAAAATTTCTCTTTCTCTAGGAGGGCCAGGTTTTTTAGAGTTCTTTATGATGTCTGAGATAATTGGCAGAAAATAGTCTGGACGCACCTTAACATAAAATGTCGCTGAAATACATCCATTCAACTGTGTTCAATTTAGCTTAAAACTCATGATTTCTCAGAAACGAGATATAGAAATTTATCAAAAAAGAAATGAAATAAATTGAAACAAAAATTAAAAACGAAACTTTCGTTTTTGGCAAGTAAAGGAATATTTTTGGTTACACCACACACTGTTAGAAACATTTAAACAGTCGATTATTTGCTTGACGTACACCCAAATTCACACTTTGTCTTGGAAATTACATTTTCTTCCGAGTAAACCACTGTGGGAAATAAACCAAACGGCAAAAAAAAAACCAAAAAAAAAAGGAAAAAAACAAGTCAACGCTGGCTAATGTTGATAGTGTTGGATTTGATTTGGCCATCGAGAGAATCCAGAATGCGCCAAGTGGTTGAAGGTGAAGAGTTGAAGAAAAGGAAAGAAATTCGAAGTAGGAGTGTGTAAATGAACCATGTCAAAACGAAGGAGTCACCGCACCAATAGATGACTTGCACGCTGAAAATCCTCGAAGTTACAAGTTAAGTTTCTTTCTTCATGTTTATACAGCTTTATTATCAAACATGAAATGCCCCTATTATCAAACAAGAAATGCTTCGCTTGCTTGTAAGAAATGCCCTTTCTAACCTATTTTGAATCGTTGCCAGAATAAGATTCATTTTATCTACCTAATGTACCTAAAACGTTTCTTTGCGGTCGGTTGCCTCAGTGCTTAAAAACTCATCTATCTTATTAATGTTTATCTTGAACCATTTTACCTCCTGAAAATTTTAAGTGGTGTGTTTTATTTGATGAAATCGCAATTCAATGAACAATCTCGCTAAATTTTATGGATCGAACTGACGATTCTGACAAATTTTACTTTGCTAAAACAAATAAAGACCTAAATTAATTAGTTTTCTTTCCCTTACGGACGCAAGCAAAAGTAATGAGTTTTCATGATTACTGCGGTCGGAAAGATGAAAGGAAGAATGTTCTCTTTGAGGGTTTTTCAGTGCCACCAGAATTTTTGAAAACGAAACAAGAATGGCAGTCACGTGAAGATATCAAATTTTGTTTTGCGGCTAATTTTGACATTGCAATTAGATTTTGTTTTCTTAACTCAATGCGGCCGCAGGGATATTTAATGAGACTTTGGAATAACCGACTGACAGCTCTTGTCATTCTTATGTTTGTTTGATTTTACTAAATTGTGAGAATAGTTTATTTAACGATGAAATATTGATTCATAAGCAATAAATATCTCTTTTATTCTCAACAGTAACACAGCTCACTTTTCTACAAAAGACAACTCAGTTGCTGAAACTGAATACAACATACACTTACTGAGCTCGTCGTCATCGCCATTGAAAGAGCCATTTTGAGCTGTCTCGTAATAGCTAAATCAATTAGTTATTTAAGTAAAAAAAAAAAACCAGGTTAAAAATCATCGTGTTAAACAAATATGTATCAGACAGGGCTCTACTAGGGTTTTTATGGTTGACAAGCAAACTCAAGGATTTCCTCGTATTGTAGCATTAACTGTATTTCGCTTTAAACCTCTGTCCAAATATGGATACTGGTAAGACTCAGAAATATTGAACTATAAAGAAATAAGGTATAAAAACAATTAACTAGAGGTTAATTACTTCGCTATTTACAAAGTTTAGTCGAGGAAATGAATTCTGAACTCAACCTCGATCCCTTTTGTTAGGAATTTTAGACATCTTCATTGCATGGAACCGCATTTTATCCTTTCCTGCCGGTTTTTTCAATTAAAGTTCCTTTATAAACTTTTTTCTTCTCTTAGAAATGAGAAATAACCTCACTCTATTCCACTCTGATGCAAAAAACTCGGAAGAAGATATTTTTGGCCGCTCTCAACTGCAAGTATGGTTCGAAGTGTCCCTAGGGATATTAATGTGCCTAGTGGCTCTTACAGGAAACATTTTGGTGGTGATTGCCATCCACTATGATCAAAGGCTCAACACAATTACCAATATACTGGTCGAAAACTTGGCTTTTACCGACATCTTCATGGCAGCCCTGCACATGCCCTTTTGGATTATCAGTCTCCGCAATGGACGCTGGATATTCGGTCACGCTCTTTGCCAGCTTGTGGGACTGACACAGCTGATATTTGGAATCGCGTCGCTGTTTACCATGACAGGCATCGCTTTTAACCGTTACTTCAACATAGTTAGGCGGAACCTTTATATAAAGTACTTTTCTACGAAAAAAATCACCTACATCATTATTTTTCTTACGTGGCTGGGCCCCATTATCGCCACAACACCACAGCTGTACGGATGGGGAAAGATTGACTATCACGCTTTGTTCGCCGACTGCACGTGTGTTTGGAACCTACCCGATGTTTCTTTTATCATAACCCTTTGCGTTATGACTATTTTCTTGGCAGCTGCGGTTATAACGTGGTGTTATTACACCATCTACAAAACAGTAAAAGCAAGTGGGGAGAGAATGCAGGGACACGCAGCCAAGAGTAACATGAAAAGCGACCTTGCCCACAAATCTGGTGAGAAAACGGAGAACAAAGTCCTCAAGACTTCATTTGTGGTGGTTTGTGTTTACATGACCTGTTGGACGCCTCTCTCCGTCATGGGTTTCATTGAAGTGTTTGGAGGAGAGAATCCACGATGGGCCCACTTATTTGCCTACTACTTCGTGTTCTGCAGTAGCCTCACGAATCCCTTCATATACGGCGTCATGAACCCGCAGTTCCAACGAACCTTCAAAAAGATGTTTCGTATACGCGAGAACGATGTGCAGCCCATCTCAAGCCGCACAGATTTCAAAGAAACAAAGAATACCATGTTAGGCAGTAAGGTGGTTTTAGTAGATGATATGCCAAGCACGTCCATAACTTTATTACCTTTGTTTCGTGATCAAAATCACAATGCAAGTGACACAGGTGTGTTTGTGAACGTTGTAGCTGAAGCTGAAGAACAGTCTGATGTGCCTGGAAAGTCATTTATAAGGAAAAATGGCCAGGCTTGGCAAAAATGACCTATTACAATAAAACTGACAGAGTTTTTAGTTTTTTCTTTTCTACTTGGATTCAGAAACAGGCATAAAGACAAAGAACCACTTCCAGTCAGTTGGCCATTAGCCGTAATTTAGTAGCTGACATACCAGGGCGGCTCGTCTATTGTAACAATTTTTTACTAATGTAAGCGACTTTTAGGGTTTAGTTCATTCTCACTTTTGTGAAATATCATTGAAGAAGTTCATGAGAGCTTGAACAACCATCTCGTTGCAAACGAAGTTTTTCTCGAACAAAATATCAACGATCACTTATTGCTAATAACTAAATTAAGGGGGGCAAGTAAATAAACGAGGAATAGGACAGTAATAGGAATATTACCCACGAATAAGCATTTTCGTGGACAAACTCTCGAACCTCATAATAATCACGATCTCAATATTTTTCAGTCTTAACTCACTGATTGCCTGAACTTTATTCTTAAGATATAAATCATAAGTGCGTCAAGAGACAGCCCGGTTGCACACTGAACCGCAGCGTCCTTTAGCAAGGTAACTGAACCTAGAAAACTTGTTAATTAACTAAATAGGAGAATTTAGCCTTCTGACATTGAGAAGTATGTAAGAGCGAAACATTTATGTACCATAACTTTTACATGAAATATATTAAAAAGAGCTTGACTTACCTGAAACATTTTTCCTGCTTTTTCTAAGCTCTGCAGCACAACAGAGCACAATAAGTAAGGCGAAACGCGGCTACAAACATCTTCCCGCGCTTTTCCCTTGCGCGTATGCATTGAAAGGTGGGAAATTTCTCCTAATGTCCAGTTAGTAGTGGTTCCTTCAGTTTCATGGGCTTTTTCCAATTTTTTTTCATTTGTTTCTCCGCACATTTTAATTTAAATTGGATCGTCTTCTGCTTCACGTAGTACCGAAATAGACTACTCGGGTCGTACCCCTTCAACAATAAATCTCATGACGCCTTCGACTTGTTTTCTTTTAAATCAAATTTTATCGTTACTTGTGACTCACAAGACGACATGATACGCAATAATCAAGTGTAAGTACAGCAGCTTGTGTTTTACAGTTCCGTTACAAAGGAATTCCATTAGCCGTTTATCCAGCTTGATTCGTGAGGCGATACAAGCGGTTTTTGTCCGGCTCACTTAGCTGAAAGGCATTTAACCTTCAGGTCATGACCTTAAGAATATTATCAATGGCATGAGCTGAAATTCTTGTCAGGAGGTCCTAAACTAGATTCTTCCCTCATTATATATTACATCAATACTTTTTTCTCAACAAACGGTAGTTAGGGGTTACATACAGATAAGGATCTCTCTCCAACTTGACTACACCTTTGGTAGTGATGCAATGCAAGACTGCCATACAGTTTCTAGTGATCCACATAAAAAAAAAAATAATCATTGTTTGTTTGCCATGCTCAAGGTGCATTTGGTTGAAATAATATTCTTCTGTTTTATTGGACCAGAGGTCATAAATTAACTGATAACTGCCTCCGGAAATCAAGTTCTTATTCCTTCTCCAGTCCTTCAAATTTTTATACTGGAGAAATCACATCCTGATGCCTTGACAACAACTGTCAATATTGAAGCATATTGATTTTTTCATGTTTCACTTTCACCTATGATCAGCATATTAAATTGATTTTTCACAAGTAAAAACAAAATTATTTGATTGGGGAGATAGCCTTAATAAAACATCAAATTATCAGCTCTAACAAAAAGAGGTGCATTGTTGTCCAAAGGCTGGGTTCCAGTGTATCAAATAACTAATCATTGCACCATCAAGAAAGTATTTTGAGGTAAAGAGTTGGTGCTAATGTTTGGTATCTTCAATGTATGTCAGAATATTTCTAGTTATATTTGCAACATGCAAAACAACCTTTAACTCAATGCAAACTTTGAGAATGATGCTATTCAGCAGAAAAAAAAGAAAACAAAAAAGTGACTCAAAAAGTGAAAAAGCAGAACATGGAACATTTACCCCTTTAAACCCTAAAATTTTCCACACTGGTCTCTCTCCATTTCCTGTGGTAATGATGAGGACTATTTGTGTCACAAGTAGTCTCCAGCTGAAAAACTTGTGAAATTTAGGCTATTTTTTTCAAGTTACAAAAGTCATGACTTACAACTATCATTGAATGATGTTGTGACAATCTCTCATTGGTTCAGTTTTTTCCCTTTGCTTTAATATCTGTTATTAAACATCAAGAATCAAAGAAAAAATCTAAGCGCAACATACAAGCATTTGTTAATTAAGTTCACTCTGAATCGTCAAATCTTATCTTCTCTCCTTTAAATTCAACCTTCATAGTTTCTTGTAACCTCCTTCTTTTCATAGCTTGCCACGATGGATGCAGAATTTCTTCCTTCTTTGTCTGTTTGGTAGGCTGCTGTGATTTCACATTATTTGATTTCAACTTCTTTATTTCATTATTATCCTTTGAAGTGTATTCTTTTGCTCTCTTTACCAAATGCTTTGCACTCTTTCCATGTACCTTTTCCCACATTTGCTGCCGTGCACGCTGTCCTTTGCGGTTCCTCTTAACTATCTTATCAGCTTTTCTTACTTTCTTATTTCCTGAAGTGCTTTTTTCCTTCAAGAGTACCTTCTCATCATCCTTCACACCCGACATAGATTGAACGAAACAGGACCCTAAACCTTTAGGTTTCAAGTCTGGATAAGAAATACCATCAGTATCCTCTCCGGAGTCACTTCCACTTACGTCTGAGCCAGATACAAAGGAGTCATCTTGATCTAAGATTTCTTTAAGCTGAGGCTTTTTAGCTGGAACAAGTTTATTTGTTGTTGGTTTTTTCTTTAAAGCTTTCAGTCTTTTTTGCATCGTTGCTTTTTCTGTTTCTGTATCGCTGCTTTCATTACCTTCGTATTCTTTCGCTTGAGTGTTACCAGAAACTGACTTTTCATTCCATGTGACAGCAACTTTTTCTCCAACAGTCTTAGGTTTCTTTTTGTTTTTGCTACTTCTTTTTTCAAATCGTACTGACTGTTGTTTATTAGCAGATAGTCCTTCTAGAGATTTGTGAAGTTTCGTGGAGTTAACGATCCTGTCCATGGCTCTTCTCTGAAGATCAATGTCTGTAAGTGAATCTTCAACATGGTCTTCGAGCACACGATCAGCAACACGCTCAGCTTCACTCTTATCGTTGGTGACTCGACGGATTATTTCAGCCACCGTAGTGTCCTTCAGAAACTCTAGCTCCTTTTCAAACCTTTCGATCTTTCGTCGGTTCTTTTTTAACTGAGCTTCCGTTCCCTTCTTATTTCCTAATTGCCTCATTCTTCGCACGAGTCGTTGCACTTCGAACAACTTGGCGCGTTTTATCTCGCGTTTAAGGACGCTACTTTCTTTTTCCATCTCTTATGCCTGTACGGTATGAGCACTACTTAACAGCATTAGCTACTAAAAAGAGTAGGGGCTCCACTTGCCTAAGTAACAAGTTACTTGCATTGAACAACAAAGGTTAGGCACACGGTTACTTGGTGCGTCCGCCATCTTAAATTTAAGTTATACCCCAGTCTTGCTCCACTGCGGTTACCATAATCCCTTACGAGAGTTTCAAGATGGCGGACGGAAAACAGAATTTTTTCCTCTCTCCTCTTTTACTGTTTCTTCAAATATCCTTTAAAATGGTAACGAATTCTTAAAAATTTTTCATTTAAAATCGGCCTGAGAGGAGGCTATTTCAAGGATGAACGAGGAAAAACTATGATAAATTGTATTCCCATATTAACCGAACAGCTGTAACCTTGTTTAATTTTTTGAAGGTGGTATGTGTGGAGTCTCGTGGAGACGAGTTGGTTTTCACCCTAGAGCACTGTCTGACCGAAGGTAAATACTTCAAAAATTGCAAATAAGCTTATTTTATTTCAAGTGGTTCTTCAACATTTTTATAATGCATCATGATTGGTACGGTGTATCCACATGACCGGCGTGAGTGTGCATGTGCATGCGTATTTTTTTTTAGCATGACTGGATTATCAAGTAATTGACATTTTCTTTCATTCCTTAGGAACAAATGCAGTTTTTAAGCCAAGGTAAGCAAATATTCCAAGAAGCCATGCATGTTTTAGGTCATGTGCCATTACTTCCATAAAGTTAAAGAAATACAGCTGTTATGTGTTACTCTGAATAGTCCTGAGGCAGGAGAGGATACAAGACCCCATGCGGCCAATCCAGGCTGCATTTAGTCCAGGTCATCCCAAAGATCCTTGTTCAATCAAAACCATATCATATATTTTTAAAATTATATTTATTCTTGCAAATTGAGTATTTTTTGTCCCTTAAGCGTAAGCCTCAGCTTTCTGGCTTCAAAACTTCATGTACAGAACTGTTTGTTTATTTTATTTTGTCTGTAGGGGAACCATTCATGTCAAGAGTCTTAAGAGTTCCAGTGGAATATTTTCAGAGCAGGAAACACTCTCATTGGAAGATGTGAACAACCTAAGGGTATCTAATAATAATTATTTTCAAGTGGTTAGGGTTACGGTCGTTTACTATGAATGCTGGCTGTTAGCTTTATTAACTAAAGTCAACTTACATGCGCATGCAGACCCATGCATAGGAACATGAAAAGTCTCAACTGTAGTGTTAAAGTGCAGCTTTTGAAAGGTAATACAACCCCAGAATAGACTGTGGTAGGTTCTTGAGCAATTGCATTCTTGGCCAAGTCACTTTATTTTCATTTACAGTGCCTTCTCTATTCCCATCCCCTCTTCCCCCCACACCCTTAAAAATAAATGAGCACAGAACCAGGAAACTGCTAAAGAGAACTGATTTGGCTTTTTGTCTCAGGTTTACCTTTAATTGACTACAGTAGCATCACATCAAAAAGCAGTTGCATTTATGCAGTCACTTAATATATTCATTTCATTTTTAGTAGCTATGCCAGTTAGGCTTGTCTTGAGATTTACAGTTTTGAAAGGCTTGACTTAGGTAGCTTTTAGTTTGAATGAGAAACTGAGATCAACTTTTACTGTAACTTTTAATTGTTTTTCTCTCCCTTGTAATGCAGGATTTAGCATCAACTAATGGTTATTATAGAATACGGTTACAGCCCAAGTCTGCAGAAAGCAGTGATGATGTAGATAACAGTGTTACAACATTTGTCAAAGCTGTAAGTCTTAATTTAGGGACCAGTGCTTAACCAGTGCTAATAATGGCCTTGAATTTTGGCATTGATCTATAAATTGATGTAGTTGATATTTATTTGTATTCACCAAGTGAAAGTTTGTTGTAGGCAAGACAACAAGGTTTTTACATTAATTTATCTTCTTGGTTATATTAGCAAACATGATCAAATAATCCAACTTTTAAAACTACCTCTGATTGGGTGTTGTTTCTCTACCTTCCAACTGCAGTGTGCACTGTTTACATCAAGACTCACAGAGACTATAACTCTGTCTCTTGACAATGCAGGTGGGTAGATCACAGCCATCACAATATTGAAATTCATAAAGATAGTGAAAATTCTCATGTGGAGACAGTGAAAATTCTCAAAATAACCAATCGAAGAAGTACATAAAGAATATGCAGTAACTATTGTAAAAGATCCCACCATCAAAGGAAACTGCACATAAACCAGATTAGAACCTCTTGAACTCAGACTTAACACAACTTTTGTTTTTGTTACAGGACACTTGTATGGGGTTGGATTAATTGTCCCTGATGGTGGCTGTGAAGCAAAGACACTCAACTTGGTTTGTCTTCAGTTTTTTTGTCCCATTACCCTTTGTCGTTTTTTTTTGTATGTATTTTAAGTTTAACAAATTATGAACCTTCATTTTATTACAAATTGGAACAAGCAAGGTTGGAAGCCATATATTTAGTAACTTGTCCATGAACTGTAGTCATCCTCATCCAAAACTTCCATGAATGCAATGATGAGTCAATGCAGCCCTGTTCTTGAAGGTTCTATTAAGCCTCCCTCTTTTATAGGCCCCTTCTTTAACCCTTCAACTCCCATGAGTGACCAACATAGAATTTCTCCTTGCGATATTAAAACAATATCAACCAGATAGGTGATGAGAATAAAGAAAAATTTCAATTTGAGGATAATTAGTTGATCCAATACTAAATTCTCTGAACTAACATTATACAAATTGTAAGGTTGACTTTAAGGAGAATTATAAATTTGATCCAGGAGTTGAAGGGTTAATAACCCAACCCCACCCTCATCTCTTTGATTCTTCTTCCTTCTTTCCCTCCTCCCTGTGGAGAAACTCTAGTGTTTTTATTCATTTGGGTTTGTAATGTAACATACCATATGTTTTACCAATAATACATTCTTTTTGTTTGTTTGTTTGTCCTTAAAGGATGGAATGAGCCTGCCGTCTAGCTTTAACACATCTGTTGTTGTCATGCTCCAAGGAACAGGACAACTGTAAGTGTGAAGTTAAAACTCTAGAAATGAGTTAAGAGGGCATTTGTAATTATTGTTGCACTGTAACAGTGCTATGCTGTGTTTTATCCCCCAATACGACTTGGAGCAAAAGTGTTTAACATACAATTAGAAAGTTCCCAGAGAAGCTGGAAAGAATTGCTCAGTTGTACATGTGTAATAATGTTTCATTTGTTGACTAGTCCTGAAACAGCGACCTACATTCAGAAACTTGAGAAGGAAAAACGAGACAAAGCAGCAGGACAGACACAGGACAACAGATCTTTTCTGGCAAAATATGTAAGTTTTTTTTTTTATTTGCACAATGTTTTTGACAATGCACAAAACATCTCTTTTTCATTATGAATTAAGCTCTGACACACAAAGAATTCTACTATGTATTGTATTCTATATATAAAAATGACACTTTTGATGCTGCTGATCCTAGTAGTATAGAGTCTTTGTAGGTTAGTGGTAGAGTGTCGGAGTGCTAATCTGAAGGTTTGAGGTAGGATTCCATATGAAAACACAGAATCTTTTTTTATGTCCCATCCTCATGACATGAGGTGGTCAGAAGTGAATTGCTAATCACTTCTGAACTAGTCAATCAGAACCAGCTGAAGAGCTATTCACCTGTGTGGTATATACACTAATATTTCTTGTTCGTACATATGAACATCTTATTGTATGTAAGAAAGGTTTGTTTTAAGGTTATATCAGGATACTACTGATAGATAAGCATGGTCTCTCCAATCCACTTAAATCTTTGGGGGAATCAAGCTACATGTTTGTGCAAGTAGTTTTGTTGTGAACAGTGACAGACAATTAAGAAGACATGGAAATATCAGATAACTCATTGCAAGTCATTTGATTTTGGAATCTTTTGAGGAGGTACAAGTACCAGGAACCCTGGTCAGAAATATTTGTTCACCTAAGTTTTCCAATCCCTTATTATTGCAGTGGATGTACATAGTACCTGTTGTTGTGTTAATGATGCTCACATCCCAGCAACCAGAGCAACAAGGAGAGGGAGGCAGTCAATAAACACACTTAAAGTGAACAGTAACACCTAAAAGAACACTGAGCTCCAATTCACAACTGTTTTGGTTGCCATGGCTAGTGGAGAAATTTATTTTTTTTATCAACTAAATCTGAAGTGATTGACAACAAACTGGCAACCTGTGTTGGGTAGTCAACTAGCTAGCTCCAACATTTTGTTAGTATCCTTAATTTTTAAGGTTTAAAGTTGAAGCGAAATGTTATTAAATTCTCTGTCCTTTTCTTTTCATGATAAAAACTTGGTTTTCTGGTTGTTAGGCCTTAAGATATAACATAAACCCCAATAAAAATGATTGTTAGCTATATTGCTTACTTCTAAGACAAGTGGAGTAGTCAGTGGTGCAGCAAATCATGTGGGATTGAAAGAAAAAAAATGTCTGGGTTTTATGCCCAGTAAGTACATATTTCATGAACACAATTTTGGGGGTTATCACTGGCTCATTACAGAGAAGATAGGCCATGTCTTGTTTCTTTCTATTAATTTTTTTTCCTTTCTATTTTATCAACATTTATCAACAACTTAATAGTACTAGGAAGCAAAAGCCAATTGTTTGAGTTTATAATTTTTTTTATTCAGACTGTATTAGTACCACAGATCTAAGCTTTCACGGACAAGTTTTATCTTAGATTTGATCCACTTCTTCCTCTTCCTGACAAAGTACTACTATAATCATACCCCTAATTTATACAACAAAAACGTTTGATAATTATTTTATGTTGTGACCAGCACATGAAAATAAAACTGCTTGGTATCAACTTAACACAGTTGTTACTCAGGAAATGCCTATAATTATTAGTTATCCTGGTTTGGTGCAGATGTTACCTGATAATAAAAAAATATCCACTTTTATTTTGTAGTGTATTACTTATAAATATGTATGTCTTATTCCCTTGAGATGATAAGAATCAGAATCTTTGATCAAATGTTGCTCAGATTGTAAGATAGTACTAAACCATTTATGATAAATTCATGCTTATTACAAGGATTTTTCTTACAGCCAAGGATTGACCACTAATACAACACAGCCTTAAAAGCTGTGCTTCCTACAATTAAACTAATTTACTAACAATATTGCTACTTTATCTAAAGAAATTTCTTCATCTTGGTCACTAATCATAAGACAATGCCAAGAACTCCTCTTTTCTTCTGAAATACTCATTAAAACGAGTTATTCCATACCTACACAAAACAAAAGAAAGGGGTTAATGTGCAAAAAGATGGCAACACAAGGCAAATCAGTGAAAGTCAAGACATTGTGCTCATTCCAGCATGAGCCAAGTAAAGTTTTCATGTTACTTGAAGGAAACTAAGGCTAAGTAGATAAATGCAAATTGTATGGGTAACACAAGTCTTCTGGCCCCTTGCTTGATTCCAGGGCCAGAGTTGATGCATACTTAGCTCCATAATTAGTTCTATTTGTTTTAATGACTTAAGTTGCCAAGTGAAAATTTTTTTATGTTTCAATTGCTAAGTCTTTTACTCCTAATTTTCTAAAATGTAACTTACCCTAAGAAATCAAAGTCAATAGCTGAGAAGTGTGCTTGCACCAAGGCCCACAATGACCAATAGAAATGAGCTGCCTGCAAAGCAATCAAGAAGAGAAGGTGAGGAAATACTGCTAGAACATTGATCAAAAAAACAACTAAGCTCTCATGTGTATCCTAATAAGGATAGGGTCTATGAATTGTAAATTCTTCAGTTACATTCACTAAATATGTAAACCAGAGTAGCATCAAACCATGTCTGATAATCCACCTGGTTGTCATGTGAACTTTAATATATTTTAAGTGCACTTTTATTAAATATTTCATTCAATAATAATTTCCACTCTAAAAAAGACTTTCTCAAACAGAAATCAAGTGTTAATCCATTCAAAAACCTTGCAATGATGTGTTGGAAACTTACCACAAAATTTAATTTTCCTCACAGTATCAATAATGAGCACTTTTCATTCATCGTATTTATTCTTGTCATTGTATTTCCACCAATAACATAGCTCCATTTTCTGCATATAAACCCACATACAACCCACAATTCTTCCAATCACTCTGACGAAGGGCTAATGCTCGAAACATTAACCTTCAAACACTTCACAGTGGCTAATTTATGTTTTCAGCTCAGTTGTTAACACCAAATTACCAGTTATACTCTCCCACCCACCCAGCACCACAGTTTCTTTAGAAACTTACCCCCTTTACCACAAAATATAATTTGGCTGTATCAACTTAGCTGATCACGTGTATTGGACACCGTAAAAGGGTTTCTAAAGGTGATAGTTGTCTTGTGTTACCCCCTCTGATGCAGCAACATAGTTTCTTTTACTTTGAAACTTGCCCCTGTAACTCACAAAAGAGACACGCAAGTCATTTGACTACAGTAATTTAACCTACCAGGGCAAAGTGATTGGCTTGCACATACAGCTTTTCTATTTCTGCATCAGAAATTTTAGGATTTGTCTCACCTAATTTGAAACAAAAAGAGGAAAATTGTTGAGTATATAAAAGAACCCCAACACTTTCTATAATTCTTAATTGTTACTTTTTCATAAGATTATCGTCCACAATACTTAGACAAACAATGATGTGATGAAGTGCATTTAAAAGTGCTGTTACTGTTCCAAACTGATCCAGCTGATTTAACTTAGGAGAAAATATAATTTTAACGCCCCAAGTGATATTAATAATACTAATTTAAGAAAGGCAAGATGTGGAACATAGCACCCAAATTATATGTGAATATTGCGAACAGTTCACAAATATTAATCCTAAGAATTGGCATTATGATAATAAAGCTTGGCTGCCAGGGCAACAAAACACATTGAATAAAATGATCATATTTTTAAATATGGAATAATTAATACCTACAGAATGTGTGCGCATTAATTGTGACCAGTAACAAGAAAGGTATAATTTATCATACCTACACTAAACACATCTTGCATCTTGAACTAACATCCAAAGAATTATTTAAAAATTTAAAAAAGATAAATAAATTAAATTCTTTAGAACATCTACACCGAGTTTGCTACAAGTTATTCATACCTCTTAATCTTGCAGCTTCTTCAAGATAAACAGCAATCCATTTTAACTGATGTTCTCTTTTGGGATATAAATTGTAATCAACCTCATCCACTCCTTGTGAAGATAAAAAAAAATTACAATGTCAGAGCTTTCATTAACCCTTTACACCAACATCAGTATGCATGTTCTCCATACTGTTCTTTATACATTTCCTAAGCTTCTAAGAAGGAGAATTTGTTTAACAAGCAAGGGCTTTATTTTTTAAGGAGAAATAAGCCACTATGAGCGAAGGGTCCTTCACTGGTGAAATACATTGTCATCAAATTAATAAAAATATATTGTATGGTGAAGATTTGTCAAAAACAAATTGGAAAACAACTACCATAAATGTCCATGTATAAGCCGCATCCTTAGATGAGCCGCACCCCCGATTTGGAA